ACTTCGCTAAAGTCATTTTCTCGACACCCTTTAAATTTATCTATATAACATACTTCAACGAAAAGAAGCTGGAAAAAAAGTTACGAGGGATGGTAAAATTAAATTCTGAATAACTCAAAAAGTATACACTTTTTGGGTGATATTATATATGTTTTTTTAAAAGTTTATGGAATTTCCTAAAAAAACACAAAAAAAATTGTTAAAATTGGACAATTTGGAGGAAAGATATGGTCTCAAGTTTTTCCCCTGAAGAGGCGAAAATTTATATAAATTTAAAATATACTTTTTTAATTGTTGAGAATAAAAAAACTTATTTTCTAAAGATATTTAATGAATTATCTTACCTCAGAACATCTTTCATAAGAAATAAGTACCTAAATTTATACCTTCATTCTCAGTTCTATATTTCAACACTGCAATCACCACTTAAATAACTTTTTCAACTAAAAATATCACTAAATTGACATTACTTAAAAATGTTGAAAATGGAGTTAGTTATTCCGTGGTTTATAAAAGCAAAGAAAGTTGTGAGGTTTATAAAAGCAGATGGAGTGACTAGATTTTTATTGCCTACCGCCGATAGATTCAATAGACATTTTGTAATTATAATGGCCTTAATGACTTGTTATCTGTAAGCTTTAAGCTTTAGCCCCGTTTAAAATGCACTTCAAAAATTTTTATAATAGCCCAGCATTGCCAGAAAATAAATTCTATTCAAAGTAGAGCGGTAAGTGAAAGTTGTGTGTTGCGCGCACCAGATTTATATATATATATATCATTCTATTCTTCGTTTTAATACATGTTATTTTAATTAGGTTGTTATGTTAATTACCATTAATAATTTTTGTACATAATATAAATTCCCGAAACATTTTTTTTTTGTATATGATCTTAGATCTACCTAGATAGATATAGATATAGATCTACCTGATGGTCTAAACTCCCACTTTATATCTGTTTCCACCTCTTCTTTACCCTCCGCTTCCGGCTTTTCTCCAGAGGTATCATTTAACGACAATAACTTTTATTTTTCCGACATTTCCTTCACAGACCTTACTACCGTTATAATGAAATCCCGCTTCAATTCCGTAGACCCAAATGGCATTCCTCTTAAACTAATAAAATTATGTCTCCCTGAAATCCTCCCAGCTCTCCTTTTCATCTACAATTTCTCCCTGCAGAATTAAATATTCCCGACCTCTTGGAAAAAATCCATTGTCCTTCCTTTAAACAAAAAGCCTAATCCATCCTCTCCCGAAGATTTCTGCCCAATATCAATCCTTTCCAATCTTTCAAAACCCTAGAAAGGTTAGTGCAATCCCAAGTTTCCAACTTCCTTGAAAAATCCAACCAACTCGATCCTCTCCAATCTGGCTTCCTTCCTGGCTACTCTACACAATCTGCTCTGATTAAAATTACCAGTGATATTCAGACTGGAATAGATGACAAAAAACTAACTATACTTATACTTCTTGATTTCTCCAAAGCCTTCGACTCCATTATCCATTCCATCCTTTTCAATAAACTAAAATCAATTATTGGTAGTTATTGGTAGCATTTTCCAAAATTCAAGAAGATCTAGATCGAATTAGTGCCTGGGCCAACTTAAACGGATTAAGGCTAAATGCTACTAAAACTCAGGCCATTCTCATTGGTTCCAACCCCCTTCTTAGATCCCACACCAACTTTCCCTCACTCTACCTAAATAACCACGCCATCGCCTTCTACCCATTTGTTAAAAATTTAGGTTTTTTCATATATCAAACCCTCTCCTGAAATCACCATATCTCTCATATCTCCCGTCGTGCAATTTCTATCCTCAAACTATTCCATCACTTCCGCTATCTTCTAACCCAAAGTACCCGTAAACTCCTAGTTTCCTCTCATCTTTCCCTACTTTGACTACAGCTGTATGGTGTACGATGGCCTCTCGGTGGAGCTCCGTGATAGACTGAAAAGACTTCGTAAGATTTGTAATTGGGACACCGAGACGCTCCCTACACTGAGTTAGGGTGACTCTTCTCCTCCTTAAGAAGACAATATTTCCTAGGCACATTCCTTTATCAAATCATTAACGATCATCGTCCTTCTTATGCCTACAACCTTCTCCAATTTAAGTCCTCAATCCATTCCCTCACCACAAGATCTCGACCTTCTGACCTATACATCCCTTCTCATAGATCTGCCTCATTCCAAAACTCCTTTATAGCCCGCTCTGTCAACTTTTGGAATTCCCTCCCGATCAAAATTCGGCATGCCCCTCCCTATACACATTCAAAAACCTCCTATTCCAATTCCTGTTCCAAAAACAGTCAGATACCAGCTAACTATTAACACTATATATGTATTGCGTAGCAATCATATAATCATACGATAATACTTTGTAAGAGATAGTACATGCATTTCCTACTTTCGACGTAGGAATTTCAATACATCTGTTTTTTTTTATTCAATATAACTAACTTATTTAATATATTATATATATATATATATATATATATATATATATATATATACAAGTAAAGTTTTTTTTATGAAATGAACTTATTCTATCTCTTTTTCGTTCTTCATTTCTCAAAGTGTATGTTTATGTTGTTCAACCATTATATATAGTTTTGTTCATAGTTTTAAGTGATTTGTTCATAGTTTAAGTGTTTTGTTCATAGTTTTAAATGTTTTGTACATAGTTTTATCTGTATTGTATATAGCTTGTTCACCTAAGGTTTTCTTTACTTTTTAGTTTATTTTATCAATTTTATTTATTGTTTCAAACTTTTAGGCCAGTAGTATTCTATTCTTTTGTACAATTTTGTTATTCTAAAGGGACTTAGTCCCAGAATAAAGTTTTTTTTTCTATCTATCTATATCCATCGCTCCTCTCCCCCTCGTACCAGGTACATGGGAAATTTAATGATCTTTCATTTCTGAGCTGGCAGACGACCATTTTCGTAATACTTAACAGGAGTACTAACAGCCTACAAGGTTGAAAATTTGCTTAAAATACTACTGCTTTTTCGACCTTGGCTCCAGGTCTACAAGGTCTTCATGAAATTTGGAGAATTTTTCTGGGATAAGGTCTAGGACAAATGGGATGTTAAGATCATGGTGTAGGGTTTTGTTGGTTGAAAGGTTAGCAGTGCCATCAGCGAATGTTGCCTGAAGGCCATCGGGATGAACAGGGATATTTGCGGTAAATTGAATTTAAACGATGGGTGGAACTCCCGCCTCAATTGAATAACATTTGGAGAATTCATTTCCACAGCGAGCTCGAAAGGAGCGGTCAGAGAGGTAGGATCGGAGTGTTAGATATAAGGACTGGATGGTGGAATGGGGGGGGGGGCAAAAGCTTGTGCTATGTGCAGAAATGCACCTTTTCTTCTAGGGCTGAGAATACATGGCCAATAAAGCGGAGTCCTTGTTGGACAGTGGGATATTGAGAACGAAATCAGAATAGATGGGTTGGTAGATTTTGAGATTCTGTTATGGGTAGGATTCTTTTCAAAATTTGTTGAAAGAATTGGGAGTAGGCTGATAGTTCTGTAAGATGATATATTGTATATTGTTGGAGGGTTTGCCTGGTATCAGGAAAAGAACGTTGGTGGAATATTTCCATAAGAGAGAGGTTCGTAGGATATAATTTTATATATATATATATATATATATATATATATATATATATATATATATATATATATATAAGGAATGTGATAGCTTTGGGTGGAAGTTGTCGAAGGATCTGTTGGATTAAAAAATCGAATTAAACATTTGCAGGCTTTCGCTTTAAGGATCATTTTGAAAGAACTTTGTACCCAGGTAAAAATAGTTCAGTGCAACTTTTACATACCTCAAGGAAAGATAGTTTTCCTGAAAAAAACTAGAGATCAAGGAAAAAATAATGAAAAAAAAGATTTTGTATGCCTCGATGTCCTCAATACCTATTGTGTGGATTCCATCATCCTCATTAGATTAGTTGCGGCTACTGAAAACAAGACATAGGAGGTGGGGAAAGTCTATCTCGCCAATAGTATAATTGTTGGTCCTCAATGACCAGCCGGACCGTTATAAATAAGGTAATAATTGCTTTCTATTTGACGTATTTAATTGTAATTGGGTTTTAATTGTTAATTTGTTTTGTCGATTTTTACACCTTATTTTGTAAATTTATGATTTTATTGTTGTTAGTTTTATTTTGTCCGGTCGAATAACCGAAACCGTTAGCAAAAAACAATAATACAGTAGTTATATATAGGAAGACAAAGTCTGTTTTATAGAATTAGATCTCACTCCTGTAATAGCGAACCTCAATTCAAAAATGACAAACGATTGTTTGAAGGAAGCGGTTTGTGAGAAGGAATCTTCAAGACCGTGGGGGTGATATCTTAAATTTAAAGAGTGGAAAGAGGAACATGAGGTGAATAGATTATCATGTGTGATAGATAGCAGGACACAGCCAGTTTTTTTTTAAGATTTTATATTTAAAAAAAATACTGACGGTGTCTTGACTATCTATCATCCATGATAGAATAGATTAAAAATATCAACTTTATTTTATCATAAAAAAACCGAAGAGAAACCGACTATTTGATTTTTTTCCTCATCCAACTACCATTCGTGTGGGCTAATTTGATGATTTAGTTGTCAGTTTTCAAAGCGCAACCGAGTCATCTTCCATCAAGGTGGATTTATTTTTAGGGGCATTTTCTTTACATCATATCAAAATTTCAGCCGTCTATTCATCCATTAAATGACACGTCAAATTTCGCCTCTTTAATTTAAAATTTTATTTGAAAAGCAACGGCTTTCGACCTACTGATCGAAGTTGTGTTCAGATGAAGTTTATATAGAATTTAAAATTATTAATAGCTTTAATTGGTTCAGTTAAATGAAATGGTAGGTGTCACAGTCTATGAATAATAACTGTTCTTTATGTTCATTTATACATGTTTGGTTCTTTTTTTGTTTGTGTGTGTGTCGTATTTTTAACAATTTTTTTTTTACAGAAAATGAGAGACCAGAGTATCGACTTCAACCAACAATTTAAGCTTTCTGTGGTAGAAAAGGATGTTATTGTAATTGGTAAGTACAGTTGGTAATTGTTTAAACATCAACATGTTGCAGTATTTCCAAAAAATATATGATGTATTAAAATATCTAACTATTCGTTTTGACCAAGAAAACTTTTATTAAAAGGAAATCTTTGGAAAATTTCTCTCGACAAAATGTAATTAATGCATTCGCTGACAAGTCCGATTGGTGCAAAGGTTCTCAAAACTCGATGCTGAATTCATCTCTTTAGGTTTTGTGTCATTAATCGCCTAGAGGATGAGGGGGGAGAGTTGAGGGTTAGAACGGTCAGTAAATGTTTATATTTCTTTCTTTTTTTTAAATTAAACTTGCATTTGTTGAATTTGAATTTGAAAATAATTTATTCCTGCTTGTGATTAAGAGCTTGAGAAGAGTGGGGAGGGGGTAAAATTGTCAATTTAATCATTTTGTGAATAGTTAAAAGTTAAAGCAATAAAAACGTTCAAGTTTGTATCACATTCATGGTTCAGGTTTCTATTCCTTGATTAATAAACAAAAATGTATTAATGAAACAAATACATGAGATTGCTTTGATTTACATGGCTATTACGTAAAATATATTCTGGCAGTCATAAAAACCGGCTACCTTGAATTTTGTCGTTATTTCTTTCCCAACAGAACAAAGTTTGCATATTTTTTTTACCTCAATATAGTGTGACATATTTTGTAGACAACAAATACAGAGAAAAAACAACAAACATTTATTTTAAAAATCTCTAATGTAAAATAAAACAATTGAACACTTTTTAAACAAAAATAAAACCGTCAGTTCGCATAATAAATAACGGGTCCTAGTAATAAGAGAAGCTTTGGGTATCCAGGATAATATTCATGCAATAACAATTAAAATTCAACAGTACATTTTACATGTATAAAGCATTATAAAAAGGCGGTAAAAACCAAAACAAAAAAATTGAATTGGCACCTTGATTTTTACGTGAAAACTGCGAATTAAACCAATATTTTTAAGCCTGAAGTAATAATAGGTATATGATAGATAAAGGGGATTACCTTGCATTAATCCTTTCACTAAAATTTCATATTTTTCCCTAGGATTAACGATAAAAGTATTATTGAAGGAAGTTAGTCGACTGTTCTACATATCATGGTTGATAAATATTCAGGACACAGTCATTATAAGGTTTTTATTAGTGCTGATATTTCAACCCAAACATGTGGGTCATCATCAGGGCGTGGTTCGAGCACTGATGATGACTCACGTGTTTGGGTTGAAACGTCGGCATTAATAAAAACCTTTTAATGACTGCGTCCTGAGTATTTACCATCCATTTATTTATTTATGCTCAGTTTAGGAACGATCAGATGGATTTCAACGAAAGGTTGACACTTATGGATGGTTACTAAACGCATGAAAAAAATTAAGAAATACCCACATACTGAATTGTTAAATTTCAAAACAGATATGAAAAGGGCAAGTTCCTAAACTCAGCGCTGAGCTCATAGATGGCGTCGTTTCGCCCATCTGTAGAGACGGGTCCGATGTCATTGATGAGTTCAGCGCTGGGTTTAGGAACTTGTATGAAAGAAACGTAGAAATATCTGAAGTAAATTAAAATACATCACCAATATAGTTTCATCCAGTGAATCCACCGGCTCTAAAAGCCGATGAAACCGCTTTTCCGCAACAAACTTGCCGGACGCCTTCTCCACTGACTGCAGGGTTCACAACAAAAAGAAAAAAAGAAACAATAACGAAGAGTCAATAAAATATTAATAACTATCTAATAGACACCACGCTATTTAATTTTTTGATTTTTGGAAAATAGAGAAATCCATAATATATATATATATATATATTGATTAAAAAAAATTTGGATGCGGATCGAGCTACGAACTGATTTAAAAACATATATTAATTATCCTTATCGCCAAGGCCCGGATTTTTATGCAGTGAAAACCCACAGAATATGCCATATAATGTGCAGTAAAAAATCCTGATATATGCAGTAAAAAAATCAAAACATGAATAATGCAGTAACCTGTCTATATATACACTAAACTTACTAATTACTTAATAATTAATAAGGCAATAACTTATTTAATTTTTTTTTTGGTATCTAAACTAAAGAAAGAAAATAACTAAACATATAAGAGTAATAAGATTATAATGTAAATATACATTACAATGGTAACGAAAGTGGAACATGAATCATACTAAAAAATTGAAAATATCAAAATGTATACAAACGAAAAAAACAATAATTGTCTTAACATAATTAAATAAGCATAGTAATAAAATATAACAAATATTGAACAATAATTATGTAAACTCCTTTAAAAAATTTATGTAAATGGATAAAAATCTAACCGAGTCATTGTTTAAACAATAAAATAATTAACTAATTGTGGAATAAATAACGTAAAACAGATACATTTTTGAATTAGTATACTTTGTAGACATGTTCAATATTAAAATTAAAAACCAGAAGCATTGCTAAATTTGCTTCTGTAAAATCTAACCTTTCATAATTAGAAAATTATCTTTCTACATTAATAGACGTGATAGGGGCAAACTTATATCTTCTTAATATTACCTAATTGATGTCAATGTCGCTGGGAACAATTGAATGCTTTGCTATTTAAAATTTTATTAATTCCTTCCAGAATTGTGAGACCTGATTTTTTTACAGAAACTTCTTCCATTTAAAGTTTCACCCACTTGGCCTGCTACCACTGGTTTCCATCAGTTGTAAAAACTATTTCATGTCTGTTGTTTTAAGGTTCAATCCATGATTTCAACATTGGTGAATAGTTTTGAACATCGATAGATACTTTTGCCATTTTAAACGAACAGAAATAGGATCTCTTGCTAAGAACGTAGGCGACTAATCGAGAAAATTAGTATGATATTTACGTTGTACAAGAAGAGAAAATAGATTTATAGAAATTGGAGAACATCCACAAAGAGGATTATTAAAGGGTATAGCGGATTGTAGATATGCAGCCTGCAATATGTTTTTGTTCATTGAAAGTAAACCAACATTGTTATCTTGAATAGCATCTTCAATATGGCATTTGTAAATAAATCAATATTCATTTACATGTATGTATATATATATATATATATATATATATATATATATATATATATATATATATATATATATTTTTTTTTTTTTTTTTTTTTTTGTTACGGTCTTTAATTTGGAAAAAAAATCGTTTCCGCAACAAGCTTGCCGGATGCTCAGTGGAGACGGCAGGGTTCGCAAAAAAAAAAAAAAATTAATGAAGGGTCAATTAAATATTAATAACTTTCTAAAGAGCGCCACGCTAATTGGTTGTTTTTGGAAAATAGCGAAAACCATAAAAAATAAATAAATAAATTTAATTTAAAAAAAAAAGATCAGGATGCGGAGTGAGCTACGAACTCGGAACCTTTGGGTTTAAAAACATATGTTAATTAACCTTCCTACTTGGTTAACCTATCGAACCTTCTTACTTGGTTAGTTATGACTTTCCCTAATCCCTCGAATAGGGTTTTACAATGCCTTATTAAACATAAAAAAAAAATAATATAGTATATACATAAAACATGAAAACAAATAGAAGAAAAATAAGAAAATAAAACTGGCTATTATTAATACTAATGATGGATTTATTTATTTCTATTAATTTAAATAACTGTTAAAGGAAATGAAAATTATGAACAAGAAATTAGATTTATAAGAAAACAAAGAAAAGAAAATTAACTTTAAATCAAAGAAAAGATTATAAAATTATTATAGGACTAAACATTAACTTACAACTATACAATATACCAATTACAAACATTTAGAAATAAAAATAGATAAAAAAAAACTTATATGTACATATTTACAATATCCCACTGGTTGAACTCTGTCCAATTGACATATTGGGTTATCTGAAGAAGCGGCAACTTATTCGAACTAGCGTCTTCAATATCTCCACAATTTATCTCCTCAAGTTGTGAAAATGTTCATTCACCAACTTGTAAGATTAAGCGGCACTCGATGATGATCACAGGTTTATGGATAAGCAATGAAAATCCGGTGTACACCGTAAAACTAAAATATTTCACAACTGAAAATCCTTAGCGTGCCTCTACACTCGCGAGGTTCGCCATCTCTCTCTCGACTCGACTCTCGGCTGTCTTTTTTTTCTCCCAATCAGCTGTTTCCTGTTCCACTGACTTAAAAATAATATCTACAATTAATACTTATTATAAACAATTGCTTATTATTAAAACTAATACTAAATACTTAATTAACTAATACTTAATTATATATTTAACCCTCTTCGAGTTAGTAAAAAAAAACATATTATTATTTATAAAACTAAAAATTATTTTGCGAATTAATTTTTTTTGTATTTTATTTTTCGTTACAATATATATGTATATATATATATATATATATATATATATATATATATATATATATATATATATTTTTTTTTTTGTTTTATTTCATTAAATTAATCAAACTATGCAATTATATGCATTTATCTTCAAATTTGCAATTATATGCATTTATCCTCAAATATGCAAAGGAAAATTTGGCTAATTGCATCAGAGAGTACTAATTCGTATAGATATTTGATCAGCGGTTTAAAAAATAACGCAAATAAAATATGCAATTGCTTAAAAATCCGGCCCTTGCTTATCACCCATAGTATTTTTTTCAAAGTAATTATCGTTATATATATTCCTGCATTAACTGAGGTAATCGAAACAAAAATTAATTTCCTTGTTTAAATATCCAATCTTTCCGTGAATGAAAGTATGAAATTGATAACTCTCTCAGACTCAAAACAGTGTTCCGTTTTTATTTTTCTCATTAAATTGAATTATAATTAGATATTTAATTGTAAAAGTAACAGTAATTCAGGAATATATTCAATTGAATAATCCTCTGAGTGATGACCCAGAGAGAGATCTTTGTTTGTCCCAAATTACAAAATATATTTTTTTTGTCGAAAATAGCGAAAAAGATCCATTTTCGTGCCAAATAGATCAAAAAAGATCCTGTAGTATATTTCAGTTTTCCCTTAAACAGAAAAAAACACGATAAATCCTTAAAATCCGAACCCTTCTCATTACTTAATATAAGCTGACAAAAAGATGAGCTAAGAGTGTTTTACTACAGGATATTCAACGTTAATTAAAAGTCAAATCATTACCCACTGTAATAGCAGGTAATAATTATCGTTTTTACTTACCCACCTATACTAGGTAAGGAAAGTATTGCGATCGAGTAAAAGTTCCGATATGCGGTTTTCGACGTATCTACACGTTTCAGAGTACCTGAGTTCGAAAAACACATTTTTAGCCATTGGTCTGTATGTCTGTGCCAAGATTTTCTCAAGAACTAGTGAACCGATTTTGTTGCTTCTTTTTTTATTTTGTAGGGTTTTGACTACTGATGCCTGTGACACAAATTGGATGCTCCATGCGCAATAAATGAAAAACATGTTTTTCTATAGACTGTAGCTCGAAAACGGCTCTAACAACGATTTTGATGAAACTTTTCTATAATGTTCTAATAATTGTCCTTTCAATTTTCGTATATGGACTAAATTCCCGAAAAAAAAATCAGGAAAAAACGTAATAAAGAAAAGACAATTTTTTGGGGCCTAATTCGCTAAGTATATATTCTATGGTAAAAGTTATAATAAAACTTTTGAAAGGTAATTAAATTACCAAAAAAACATCATCGGAATCTAATCAATATTAGCGATGATAAAGCTTATTCTATTTTATATTTTAATTTATTACTTTCCTACCTATACTAGGTAAGGAAAGTATTGCGATCGGGTCAAATTTCCGATATGCGCTTTTCGACGGATTTATAATTTTCAGAGCACCGTGGTTCAGAAAAAAACATCGTTTAGCCTGTTTTTTTTTAAAGTAATGAAAAATCTATATCAAAATCGTTTATTTCGGACAACTATTTACGAAGTTACAGCTATTCAATTTCTAATGTTCGATTACGGGTTCATATCCTGGTATCAGAAAGCTGTGAATGAGAGAAAAAAGATAACTAAGTGAAAGTAAGAAAATCTGTTGCCCGCATCACACAAGCTTCACTATTTCCTCTACTTTTAACATAAATTATTGTTTGACAAAATTAGGTTATGGCAAAAGTTTTTGATCAGCAATATTAGAGGGTATTGAAATTTTTACACTGATCCACTTTAGAACGGTTTACATTGCTTTAGTTTATTAAATAAAGTGTACTCAAATATTTTCTTTCATCAATTTTCAGGAAAATAAATCTAATTCATTTATTTTTTTTTTCTTGATGAACATATATAAAGATATAAAAACTTTTCTGAAATAGGTTGGAAAGTCTTGTGAGAGTGGACACACCAGATTTTTTATTTCAATAAACTTTTTTTTTTATGTTCCCCTTTAATGTGTAGTTTGGCCTTAAAATCAATGTATTACTTTGACCGTTAGTTTTTTTGTTGTTTGTTAGTCTTTTTTAAAACTTGAGTTAAACTATTTATTCGATGCTGAAGCATTACAATTGAGGTGGATGTGTCAAAATGATGATGGTTTATGAGGGGATGAGCTAGAACCATAAATTCGGTCAATCTGCCTCTTCTATTCAGTAATAAGGATCCTATGTTCTGTGGTGCTATAACCCTTAAGTATGCGCCATGTGTGCCGCAAAACTTAATAATTTAAATTTAATATTGAAGTATTAAATTGAATAATTTATTTTAAAATTACTATAAAACATTAATATTGGGTTTTATGTTTTATTTCATATTCTTCAATTGTTTATTATTATTATATTATAAATATAACAGAACATTCAAGAACTACTGATATAGTGAATAGGTTTTCTTAGGTGATCGATTATATATATATCGGTTACATATATCCCGTTATATATATCGGTTATATATATAGGATTTTGGCTTGATGTGGATCTTTTCCTCTCCTTTTGTATAAACGGTTGATGTAATCAAGCTAAGACGTCCTTGTTTTAATTTCAAAATGTTTAAGCAATATTGATATCTCTCATGACTTTTATAAATAGCTAAAAAAAAAAGTAGAATAAAATAAAATGCGAAATCTTTGGTTTTCTAAATCCAAATAAACCAACGATATAAAATTTTCTATGGCAAATTTCATTTGCACAACAGAACCCCATATTTATCATTGGTCTTAATAATAATAATATTAAAATTTGATCAAAATGTTTATTTAATACTATTTATAATTGGTTATTTTTTTATTAATTGATTATTTTAATAGTTTGTCTGAATCTTGCCATCATAATTGATATTTTTAAAAGTTGCAGATTTCTGTCTTAAAATTATAGTTAGGATTTTATTTAATTATATTTAATTAAACAATAAATTAAATTAAGTCCTTATGGTTCACTTTTGAAGCAAACAACATATTCGACTATTCCGTTAATCCGCTTCCGCGGCACTAACCCTAATTGCTACAAATCCCTTTTGTACCTATTTGACGTTTCTGCCCAACATCGAACATCGAAACCTAATGACATTATAAACGTTTATATTCTTAAATTACGTTCTGGCGGAACGAAGTTTCAATACCATTCCTAATCTCGGGTATTGAATGTCAACTTTGTTTCTCTTAAACATATTTAACCCCTCTTTGCTCCTTCGGTTGGTACGATTTTTTTCATTATTGTACTCCTGCAATTATATTTGATTCATTACTATAAATCAAATATAATAGAAAAAAAGTTAATATTCGTTTATCTTATCTCAAAAACCTATTAAATAATAATTTTCATTGCAATAGAAAAATAAGAATTGTTTTGCATTGATTAAAAGCTACAGCGAAATTTACAATTATAATTATAATTAAAATCTTAAACAATTTAAAATTGAAAAACTTATGTATGTTTTATTTTAATACAAATTTGGATTCAAGAGTTTTAAAAGATATGAAGTAATTACTACTATGAACTACTTTTTTAATACCAAAATTCACTTTATCTAGTTTATTGGAAGCGTATTTTAATTTTTGTAATTTCTTAAAAAATTTTCGGTAAGTAGAAGTGGACTTAAGCTTTCTCTCTACTTGACATCTCTATCAATCGGAAAACGAGCAGACTCTTCCATCAATCCTTACTACTCCTTTTGAATTTGTATAAACAGATTTTATGGCGGTAATGAGATCTCTTGGAACATTTTTTTTCAGGCAGAGCATTCCATATTTCTTGCCACTGGACCATGGCGAAGGCAGCCTTAATGTCCGCTCCTGTCCTATGCTTTTTCTAATAAAGTTCGTAGAACAAAGATATGGTCCTGGTTTGCCTCCCCGGTGGGAAACCTGCCTGTTCCTTCACAATTCATCATAACTTTGTAAAAGACGAACAGTCATCAGTAAGTGGAACATGAGGAAGATACTCAACTAGTCTCTCTTGTATGCAGATGATATCGTCCTCATTTGTGATTTGAAAGAGAGACTGCAGTAACCTTTACTTGTAAGAATGTATCCGAAGGATAGGAGGAAGAACAATTCAACAAATGAAGCAACTCTGCAGGAACAGTGTGGTTCGGCAGTGTTGGACTGAGGCCTCTCCATGCTAAATATGGCACAAGGAGGAAGATAGAAAAGAGAAGTAATTTCTTCTGCATTTAATATAATCAGCAATATTTTTTACTTTATTAAAAAATACAAACACAAAAAAAATTGATTGATATGTTATATTCTAGACATCCTTGCAGAGCAACGACAGGAAACATTTATATAAAAAATATTAAAATTGTATAATATTTTTTCTCGGCTCTTATGTTGCATTTGCATGAACCCTCGGAGAGGGGTCTAATATTTCTATAGACCTAGTATCACCACAAAAAGTTTAATTGATATCAATGACCCCACGTCCGTAACCTCCCGTTGTAAATGATATATTATTCCTGTTAGTGTATTGATTTCTTAAGAGTTTTATTGTGATATTTATTTGTATGTTTAGGTAATGGTCCAGCTGGGCTGAGTGCCAGTTTTTTGTTGGCTGGCCATCACCCTATCTATAACGGAACTGGCCATCCTGACCCAATGCTCTCTGCACGTTTATCCTCTCTTTCAGAGGGAGAGTCCCTAATGTCTGAAGAAAAACTGCAATTCTTAGCCCAGGTAACTTGCAACTGCCTAATTTAACTAAAGATATTTTGTCTATTAATGTGATATATTGAGGTTGTGATGGCCAAGTGTGTTGGAGCATTGTCCGCTCTAGCATCCTCATGCCTAGTGGTGCTAGTTCAAATCTGGCCTGGGAGGGGTTGACTTTTTATTTCATGGCGGACCTACGGAATGAAACTCGACCCTCCCACTCTGGTTAGAATAGGTTTGGTTGTACCTCTAGAACAACACCCCCATGTACCATACCTATTACTTCTTAATGAATTGATTTTGTTGTTAATAGCTGGTATGTTTAGGGAATGGACGAATATGGAGGTACAAGTCTTGTGGGCACATTATTTGATACCTTAATGCGCCCTGGTGCAGTAACAGGACTCGACATCTTATCACCTGTTACCTGGTCTCTTGCTCTTCCTATAGACCATGTGGTTCTTGGTGATGGTCCTCCTGGCGGTATTTGGCAGGTATTTTCCTATTTAAATACTTTTATTCAATTTAAGTTGGTAAGTCATCAAAAACTATTTTATATCTTAATTTTTAGTACAATTATGCTATGTTCTTATATTATTATCGGCATCACAGTTATAAATTATTTAATTTTTTTCTTATAAATTACAACCTGTGACATGTTTTCTGATGGTTCTTGTAAATTAATTGATTACATCTATTGTAAGATTAAGTTAAAAGACATTTAACTTTGGATAAGTATGAATCATTGAAATAATAAAGTACCTCTATAGCTTACATTTTTTGTAATAAATTTCTTATTAAAGCATTCTATTAGAAGACGTGATGGTCAAGTCCGTTGGCTTGTGGGTCCTAGAATATCTGATTCTGAATGTTGTGGGTTCGATTTTCACCAGGGTAGGTTAATACTCTTTTCTCAGCAACTCTGGGAAATAAATCTTAATATTGCCAAGTAGGCAGTATCAACTTCAAAGTAGCCGTCGAGTAGGCCAAAAGGATCACAAGGCCCACTTGCCAGACTAGTTTCCCATCCAGTAGCAAGTTATAATTGCTATAGTAAGTTATAATTGCTCTAGCTATTGAATAGTTAAGATAGTAGAGTAATATATATTCTTAAAGAAAATTTAATATTCAACAACTTTGTTCCTCATGACTTTTTCATCCAAATGAAAAGATAAAGAGTTAGCGAGTCAAATAATAATAAAAATGCGAGGCAAAACATTCTTTTTTCGATTTAAGTGAATTACTAGAACGGATATCACAGAAACTTTCGAATAAAGCAAAAAAAAAAATAATTTAACCATTTCTGTTTTAAATTTGATCAGATGATACATTTATTACTTATATTGTGTCTCTATCTATCTTCACCTGGCCGCCATTTTATATTCCAGCGGCAAGTGGCAGACGTGCATTTTTCTCATTAGGCCTGTGGATATGGTCAATTAATAAGGACAAACCTTATTATGAAATATGACACATTTTTTGCCACAGGCTACAGGACTAGAAGATGAATTGTACAAAGCATCTTAAGCTATAAGGGGTAGGATTTGTTTCAAAAGGATCTTTTCAAAGATCTGAATCAAAATTTAAGTGCGCTGGTTTTGATGACCACTGGTGTATTTCAGTATAATTTATTTTTCAATTTAAAGTTTTGAAACAGAAATGTTTAAGATGACTTCACAGATGTTGTAATTACAAATTTTATTATAGTATTTTAATATTTTAAGTAAAAAATATTTAAGATTTAACTGCATCCTATTATATCTTATTTATTAGTTTTTTTGGTTCTTTCTATACTAATTTATATATATGTATTAGATATGTAATTGAAACATTTTTTCAGACCTAAATTAGAAATGTTCCAACAGTTTTCAACCTTTATAAGTTGTTACTTACATCTGTTATGTTAATCACTGGATATTTGAATTGGGAAAGATTACATTGACATGGAAATGCCATAATTAATCAAAATCTATTATTTAGTTTTCAGTATTCATTAGGTGTTTAATTGAATGAAGTTATATGATCAAATTATATTATTATTCTTTATTTATAGAGATTGGACCCAGATTTGCTGACTCTTTCGCTCAGTTCATGGATGGAGCTCCCTGGTCTTAGAATATCCTCAGATAGTCAACAACAACGTATTACCGCTAAAGAAGTTGCAGAATACTATAAGAGATATGTAATGGAGTTAGGGTAAGCCAATTGTTGCTTATATTTCTTTCCTAGTCGGACTAGAATATCAATTGGGTTATTTTTGTGAGCCCTAGATGCCTTTTTCCATTATCCCTTTCTCCAATTTTCTGTATACATGTGAAAGAAAATATTAAGTTTAAGTTATGGTTTAATTAACAAAGTTAATGATAATGATTTTTTTTTATATATTAATCAAATGTCCGATTATGTTGTAAAATGGATACCTGTTAACAGAACATTGTGATTTGAACAAGCTATAGGGGAGTTGTGTTTTTGGTTATACAATTAATAGTAGTGTTTCTAAATGATTTTCTTTTAATGAATAGTCACACTTTTACGATCTAAAAAAAAACATAGATTAGTGTATTAATACCTATATTTCTGAATTATAATAATTTTGCTTATGATTTTTCTGTGCCAGTGGATGTTTTTTATCGCTAGGCAATCTAAATAGTAAGATATCAGATTTTCTGGTAATTTAAAGTTATAATTTAACTATCCAAATAGAAAGGTAACAAAAAATAATATATTAAATCATAAAGGTAAGACAATATTAGACTGATTCAGTTATTATGATCTTATTAAATTAAATGGGAGATCAGAGTTTGATCCTGAGGGTGATTAGACAATATAAGTTCACAGAGATGTTCGGTGACTGATTAATATCGTGTTTCTAGATCAATATTGACATTATATCATTTAGAGTAGATGAGCAAACCTTTTCAAATTATTTACCGACATTAGTAGAATATTCTGTTTTACATGAATCAAACTGTAACACCAACTTTCCCTCAACTTAATTGCGAATGCTTAATCAAAATAGATATAAAGAAAAATTAAAAATAAAATTACTTTTAATCTTGTTATCAATATTTTAATGTAGATTGTTTACAAGTCTTCTCATCAAGCGAGAATAGGTTAATAGAGTATTAAATGATAGGAAATGGTAAAATAATTAATAAGCAGTATAAATTAATGTGTAGTAATGCCAAGACTGAGTATTATTTGAATAAATTAAAGGAAATGTAGGAGCACTAAGGGGGTAGCAGGTGGAGAGATTAAGATGGATGAATGGTTGCATTAGTTTAGTAAGCTATAATAAAGCTTCTGGCATTGACTGTATTCCAGAAGATTATTTTACTTCCACTTACCAACATATGAAATATATTGTAAGGGACAGTATTGTGTTTGTGAAAATTTTCGAATCTGAATTTTCAACTGAAATACATGTTTTGAGGTCTCCTGAGTCCAAATAACCAAGTCCCTCAAAATGGTCTGTCTGTGGGTGTGTGCGTGCGCGAATATGTGTGTATGTGACAAGTCTAGCTCAATAACAAAAAGTTGTATGAAATTGCACATTTTAGGTATGTATATACTTCAGATGTTACTGGAGCTTTTTCTTCAAAATCAGCTCACCGGAAATGGCACTTAATATCATCGATGAAACACATTTTTACGATTTACTCGATAATATTCTCTAACAGGACTTAAAGGCTAATTTTCAATATTAGCTTCCTCTAAAGTAACTTATTTTTTTATTTGAAACAATTAACCATTTCAAATTGATCTCTAATATAAAAAATAGTTATATAAAATATGAAAGAATTTGATAATTAACTAAAGGAGAAATAAGAGATCGTAACAGAGAATAATTGTAATAAAGAAACCAAACGGATATGAGAGCGCGCGTGCCCAACCTCACCCGAGATTAGAACAGGCTTCCATAGTAACATACTGACACAGTTTAATATAATACGTACTCCGACAATATTATGTACATATACATATGCAATTTTCCTAAATGTTTTTGTTGGTATTATTTAATATTTAATTGTATAGATTACAGTGATATAAATATTAAAATTTGTATATATAATAGTACTTAAACAAATAAAAATATCCACAATGAAATATGAATCAATATAGCGTTTATAATTTTTACTTTCTCTTCCTTTTTGCTTGAAATACTTACTTCTGCTAAGAAGAGGGTGGTATATGAAAGTACTGTGATGTTCGCACCGCACCAGATTTTTATAGATGCTTCTGAGAAATTCCATAACTTACTGCTAAAGAGTGCTGTAGTCATATTTTTAACATTGGTAGTGTTTATACCGGTTTTAATTGAACAATTATATTCCCATTTTATAAAAAAGGAGTTTGCAACTGTTACTAATTATTGGAGTATTGCTTTTGAAAATGGCATTTCTAAAATTCTTAATAGACTAATATTAAGCAAGTTGTCAGAATGGGTTGACAATAAAGGTATATTAAAAGGATTTGAACTGTCCAGCACTCTTAGGAGAGCAGCATAAGTCCGACGATATTATTAGCTGTTGATTCTGATCCTCAGGCCTCTCAAAAAGTCTTTGACAAATCCTACACAAAAAGTCTTCTCTCCCTGAAAATGGGAAGAGAAGAAAACACATGTTCTTCGCTCAGTTCTATCAGTTTGGTCACTGGGCACTCTGCTGTACTGTCCATCTTAAACCTATACTGGTTGGTTCGAAAGCATCCATGTGGAGTAAGGAGCTGGAGAAGGTAGTAGTCCACCTCCCTGTTATAGCCTCAACAATAACTACCTCGTTCTGCCATTAATACTGTTAATAAAGTTGAGCTTTGTTTACATCCTTGGGTATTATTTAGATAATCCTTAGCTGTATTAGGTTATTTTCTTTACTGAATAATAATCCCAATTAGTTTGTATTTTTCTTTCACTCAGTTAACACGGAGTGGGGTGATAAAGAAAACCAAATAGCTGAGAGTCCCCGCACTGTGAGAATTGCAAATGCATCAGAAGAAATCTCATTCGAAAACAACAAATACCCTCCCTCAGTGATGGTTTGGTGGGGAGTTTGCTATGATGGCGCCATAAAGCTCCATTTTTGTGAAAAAGTAGTTAAAACAGCCGCTAAAAACTATCAGGACGATATTTTGTAACCTGTAGTCAAGCCTCTAAATGATACTCTGCTGGAAGTCATTGGGTTTTCCAGCAGGATTTTACTCTAGCTCACAAGGCCAGGTCAACTCAGCAGTGACTGCAAAAGAACATTCCAGAGTTTATATCTCTGCCTCGGATTGGCCCTCAGGAAGTCCTAATCTCAATCCACTAGATTTTTGGCTTTGTTCCGAACTGGAGAGGATGGCATGCTACAGAGCCTACCCTAACTTGGAAAGCCTCAAACAATCTTTGGTGGGAGCAGTTGAGAGCTTTCCTCAAGAAGTGCTGCGTGCTGCTATTGATGATTGGCCACGTTGATTAAATGCCTCTGTCAAGGCAAAAGGGGGACATTTTGAATAATTTCTTGGATAGATAGTAATTTGTTTTACTCTATAGATATACATTCTATTTTCTAATAATGTTTTTGAAATAATTAATTTTTCTGTTGAAATCTGTATATATTTCCTTGTAACAATATTTATGACAGGACTAGGTATATGTTTAATTGTATTAGAATGAGTGTACATCATATGTTTTAATTGCAGTAGTATTCAATGTATTGATATGGTTGGGTTAAAAATAAAAGTGTGTTATATTCTAACTTATTTTCATTTTTTAGAATAATAATATATTCCCAGAATATTCAATCCACTCAAGTCAAAACACTCACCATGCGTCCTATATACCTAGGATTGGATACAAGGAACTAATCTGTACATCCACCTCCTATTTGATGCTATATACCAGTGTAGTTGCAATTTCTCATTAGTCTTCGTTCTTTCTTTGACTCTGAAAATGTGATCGAGTCTGTTGTATGAGCGTACACTCCCTTCTGCAATCAGCTCTATAGGTGGCATTCTGGCCACTTGCCGCTTCATTTGACACTGTGTGGAATTCACTTATTGTAGACTGAGAGCTACTGACTATTTCATTTAACGGAAGGACTTATAATAGCTAATAGCCATTTTAATTCTGGATAAACCTCATCTGAAAACACAACTTTGGTCAGTCCGTTGAAAGCCATTGCTTTCTATATGAAATTTAAATTAAAGAGGAGAAATTTGATAGTTCATTTAAAAGAAGAATATATGGCAGAAATTTTTATTTATTGTAAAGAATATTTCCCTAAAAGTGAATTCACCTTGACTGACGTACTCGATTGTGTTTTGTAAACTGACGATGTCAAAGTCATCAAATTAGGCCTGTCCGTTGGTAGTCGGATGAAGAAAAAATTGCAATAGTCGGTTTCTTTTCGGTTTTTAATGTTTTTTGGGATGCTTAATCTGAATTTGATATTCCTGAATGAAATTTTCCATTGCGTTCCGAGATATATGTAAATGGCAACAAAATTTCAGAACTTTTTTTAGTTATCTGGACATCTCAAATCCTACCTACCACAGTCCTTATACTCAAATCCCACCTACCACAGTCCTTATATCTAATACTCCAATCCTATTTCTCCGACTGCTCCTTTCGAGTTCGCTGTGGTATAAAATTTTGCGACTATTACTCAATTGAGGCTGGAGTTCCTCAAGGCAGCGTCTTGGGTCCCATCCTTTACATTATCTACCGCTGATATTCCTGTCCATCCCGATAAACTCCTGGCAACTTTCACTGATGACACTGCTATCCTATCTTCTAACTCAGATCCAGAAACAGCGTCCATAAACTTGCAACGGCGCTTATGCCTGATTGATAGATAGATATATAGATAGATAGAAGCATTTATTTGTTTATAAAGTACATATATATATTTTTTTTGTTTACGTATAATTAAACGATTTATCGACAATGGACTTATGTTCGTCTGTCAGGGTGTTCGCCTAGTTTATTGGTGGAGGTATTTTATCTTTTATGAATTCACAGTTTCAATATAACAAGATCCCAATTTCAATATTATCTACTTAATTAAAAAAAATCTTAATTTTAACTAAAAGTTCTTTTTAAATATAAAAATATAAATATACCTACATAATGTACAAATATACATGAACATAATCTGAGATACCTTTTATTCTAAATTATATTCTCTGACTAATTCACATCTATAATTAGTGGATGT